TAACTCAGGCTAAAATCTCGAGATGTCAACTCGAGATACAGACACAAACCAAATAAGGAGATACTCCATTTAACATTTTAGTGTAACTGAAATAAAATAGATGTCTTATTTCGATTAGTTACTTGTCCTGATAAATATTAAGCAATATTTAAATATGCAGCTGCGCACAGCGATGTGTAAAGCTTTTTGCAATCATCGGCAGCAGAAACTGTGGGGCCTTGCAATGCAGCGCTTGTATTTATTTGGCATATAACCGGCCCCAGGTGATGTGGTGTTTTGTGATTATATAAGCGGTGTGATTAAATGAATTTTGTGCATGATTCACATGATACGGTTAATGAATAGGCCTCAAGTGTAAATCAGGAGAAACAAATGAGGAGAAACAGAGGAAGAGATGAAAAAAACAGACAACAAGTTGTGAATAAGCATTACAGCGTTAAGTATCTGTAAGTATCGTTGCAAGGTCAGCTCGAGGCGATTCGACTTTTGTAAGAAGGGCTCGAGTGGCAAATGCATTACAGGTGCGCGCAGGCAGTGTTAGGGGCTCGTGCTAGTGAAAAGGTGTCTTTGTTGTGATCAGCTGCGCGTTTCAGGGTTGAATTGCGCGAGGGGAATATGATACAGCAGAGAGCCTTCTGGTATTAACGTGGCACGTTTTAACCACACGCAGATCTCATAACACGCCTGAGAAATGTGTTTGTGTGTTCGTTTATTTAAAATCGATGCGTATTCTGCGTGATATATTTGACCATTTCCTGATACATTTTGCGGTCTCTTTAAATTAGATTAATGTAGGACAATCTGTCCAATTAATTTTCAATAGAGTTTAAGTGCGTTTTTGTGAACAGTTTGCATTGTTCATTATAATAATAATAGTGTGTAAAAATATGCACTATAACAACAACAATAAAAGTATTAATAATAAAACTAAAACAGTATATATAAACTAAAAACAATGAAATATAAACTACATCTTTTTAGAATCTATTTATATTCAACACTAATGTAAAAGTAAAAAAAAAATTTGATCGGGCAAACAGCAAACGTAGAACCATAGGCCTGCTTTACCTCGGCCTAAATCACATTCCATGTGAACAATTTTGTTAGAAGTAAACATATTTGCTAAATGTTAGTAATTAAGTTACAGTATATAAATTAACTTCATATGTTTTATTCCTCTTTTTTTCTCACAATCTGAGCTAAACAAAAATAAAGCAATAAACACGTCCATCAGCCATGTGAATAAGCGCTGTGCTCCTAATAAAACAACATCTTTTTAATGTTATGATACAACATATTAGCTACTTTTAATAACACATTAAAAATTTTATTAATACTTTATACATATGTATATCTAAATAAATATTTAACAATAATCCAAAACCTTGTTAACACATATGACAATAGGCTACTCCTAATTTGTTGCAGAGTACGAAGGCAACTCTTTAAATGTTTAAATCGTAGACATTAATAATAATAATAATATATATATATATATATATATATATATATAAATTTCTCACGGACAAAACGGAATTGCAAATAAAACTTATGTAAACATAAAGCCGTGGACTGCGAGAAAGGTTGAGGATTATCACGGATTATCTGCTTGACGATGAAAAATAAACAGGAAAAATAGACACGAGTTTTTTACCTTGACAGAGTGGATTTAAACCAAATGATTTTCTTCTGTGTTGCAAAAATGTCAAAGGGTAAAATTGTGAGACGGATGTGAGTAAAAGTTCCTTATCAATGAAATCCAAATGCTCTGATAAAGCAAATAATTCCCGCTGTTCCAAAATATAATAAAGAAACAAATAAATAATACCGGACAAAGGGTGAGACTAATTATAACACTAAGCAAGTTCACTGAAATATAAAAAAATAGTAATATAAATGTAATATATGATACCTAACAGTATATAACAATTATACATGATTGAAGTTATCTTTCTATAGAAATGATGAGAGAAGATAAATTAACGACAGAATACACTAGGATACATAAAATTTTCCACATTGCTATCAATTTTTAAAATAATAATTATTAACATTTAATTATTAAATTTGAAAAAAGTCTATACAAATAATATGTTATTATTAAAACCCGCTAATACACTTAATTTCACGACTTTTGGACGCCGTGAGCAAACCAGTTGTCACAGAGGATAATTTGAGTTCCGTGCATTTTTAATTAAGAATCTTTTGAAATTACTTCCCAACAGAAAATATAAATAAAGCATTATATTAAATTCTGCGACTTAACGTTAGGGTTTTTCACGTCCCTTACATTTTTTTCTGATAGGCTACTTTAATTTGTTGGTCCAATTGAATTTCACGTTTCCTACTGCTTTTACAGGAACATTAGCAGGGTAGTCAAACAAAATACCAGAAATTTCCCCGCTCAAGCGTAAAAAATTAATTCGCCGGGATATATAACGTAGTTAGCGGCTGCTCGCGGCCTGTGCACCTGTATGTGGTAGAGTTCGCGACCCAGGCCAGTGGAAAAGTGCTTTTTACGCTCGCGGACCGGCGAGGCACCGTCTGGTTCCAATCAGGCCCGCTAACACTGGTGCGTTGTTTTAGGCGCTTAAATGGCAACTCTACTGGCTCGAGATGCCGTCTCAAAAACACAAATACACATACATCAACCGCCACCACTTTCGTCTGTCTTATGAGGGTCTCAAAGACCCCACTTTCTTTGGACGTCGGTGTCAAATGACCTTCATTTGGTGACCTGATTTTACCGGGTCTCTCTCTCCTCGCTTGAGGACACTTACGCTGACAGAGGTCTCTTGGATCTGTTGTTACTTTGATGAGGACAACCGTGTCGCTATCACAAATAAACACGGCAGAGGATTTTCGCACACAGCGAAATGTCTTCACTGTCAGGGTTCAGTGGCCCAGCTGCGCCCGACGTCAGAGGTGATTAAACATGAGCTGCTTTACAAGGCCGAGTTACTGCTCCCTAAACTCGAGCATCTGGAATGAAGGACCGCGAGGCCTCGTGGACGCCCGTTTCCCTCTCAATACAAGAGAGCGGTTGTGCTCGGCGCGAGGGGCTCGATGACCGCCAGGCAACCCGCGAAAGCTGGCACGAGCCGCTTTCTGACGCATTTCACTGTATTTCAACTTCTGAAGCCAGAGAGAATGAAACTGAAAAGTTGACAGTTATTTTCAAAAATGATGTTTACTGACTGTAACCATGTAAGCTTTTACTTACTGAGCCAGCAATATTAGCCAATATTCTAAACTTTTGCTATCTCTAGTGTTGTTAATATAGTAGGTTAAATTACAGGGGGAAAAAGATATTACTCTTAACACCCTAAATAAAAAGGGCTTAAAATACAAATCTACTCTGAGAACAGAACCTTTTAGCATGTAAACCAGCGGTTCTCAGCCAGGAGGCCCGAAGGAATGGCTTAAAAAAATAAATACATAAATAAAATAAAATACTAAAAACCACAATGAACATGCAAACCTACATATTCATGGAATTTGTATGGAAACCTATGTAATTACAATATTATTTGTGGTTAATCATTTTCATCAATTCTTTCATAATAGGCTATTCTTTCATAATATTAAAAAAAAAAATGAAAACAAGCAGTTCTATAATAATTACCAGTACCAGACAAAATATATTGTCTTGGACAATTGGGGACCTTGGAGTCAAAAAGGTTGAGAACCACAAACAAACACATTCAAATGACTCTAAGAATTCACACACAACTAATTTTTAAAACTTCATATTTTGTATTTGCATTTTAAATAATCAGGAAACGATTTTTAATGTTCCAACCAATTAATGTGATTCCTTAAACTGAAATTCCATGAATAAAACTGCAAACAGCTTTAAAAAGCTCGACAAACCCTTTAATCCCTTATTTACACATTTTTTTTTCATGATTATGAATAAAAACCTCTTTATAAAAATAATTTAGACAACACAAACTAAAAATCCATACACATAACCTTAAATATGACACTTAAGGAATAGAGAAAGGCAACACCGGGGACCCTCAAAACACAGCGAAACTGAGATCCGAAAGCTGAAGCAGCAGAGAAAACGACAGACGGAGGAACAGAAATGCAGCTGAATGCTTCTTCCAGTGATCACACACACAAACACATGACAACCGCCTCTTTGGCATGCATGGAGATGAAGGCGTGTGGGATCAGGCATTCGGGTTGTTCCGCATGAGCTCGATGTCTGCGTCCACCATTTCTTTAACAAGCTCCTGTTGGAATACACACACACACACACACACACACACACACACACACTTTTT